TCTCTCTCTCTCTCTCTCTCTCTCTCTCTCTCTCTCTCTCTCTCTCTTTAAAAAATGACTGGAGGAGGGAAGGTTTATCTCAGTTTAAAATCCAGAGCCAGAGAGATGGCTCAGAAGTTAAAGAACACTGCACTGCCCACTGTTCTTTCAGGAAATTTAGGTTCAATTCCCAGCACCCACAAGGCAGCTCACAACTGTATGTAATTCCAGTTCCAGAAGATTTGATGCCTTTTGACATTTTTGGACACCAGTCAGGCATACAATCATACCCATAATATAAAATGAATAAAAGAAAGTATTTTTAAAAGGTTATGTCCATCATCAAAAGAATTTGAGGCAGAACTGAAGCAGAAGCCATGAAGGAATTCTGCTTATTGGCTTACTCCTCATAGCATGCAGAGCTACCATTTTTATACAGCTGAGGCATACCTGCCAAGGGATGGCACCACATACAGTGGGCTGGACAGCCCTCCCAATCAAATAGCAAGTAGGAAAATGCCTCCCAGGGGCTAGAGAGATGGCGCAGTGATTAAGGGTACTGGTGGTTTATCCAGAGATCCAGGCTCAATTCCCAGCACCCACATGGCAGATTCTAACTGTCTGTAACTCCAGTTCTAGAAGAACTGATTGTAGCGGGGAGGTATTAGAAAAGAATTGCGTCTGGCTGGCTCCCGCCATGTTCCCACACTACTGGTGGCACCAGCTGGTTGTCTCAGAGGCACCGGGTGGGCCGAGACATTGGCATGGCTACTGCCTCTGCCCGCCTCCATGGCTCTTGGCCTGGCCCCTATGCCAACCAACCCTGCCGCCTCCACAGCGCTAGGCTAGCCCCATGCAATAACTGCCATCCTCATGATTAGCTATCACAATACCCATTAACCTGGGAAATCAAAACTCTAGATGCTTAAAGTTAACCAATGGATTTATATATATCAATAAAACCTCAATGCACAAGATGCCCACACAATTTAGAAAGTTATCCCAATTTTCCTAATCTTTAGATTTCATATCTACCTATTTACTTGAAAACACATTGGTCTACCTCTGCACTCCCCTTGCGTTTCTTCCCTCCATTCCCTCTCTGACACCCTTAGCTCCGCCTCACTTTTTCCTGTCCAATCACAGGCCTCCCTCGGCAAATAGATTGGACAATGAAATTTCTGCCACAACCCATGCCCTCTTTTGGCTTGCACAGGCACCAGGCACTCACACATGTAGGCAAAACATTAAAAAAAAATTAGGAAAGAAAGAAGCCTCAAGGCTCAGTCTGATCTGAGCAATTCTTCCGCTGAGGTTCCCTTTTCCTGGTGACTCTAGGTTTGTGCCCAGTTGACAGCTGAAGCGAAGGCCAATGTCTGTCAAGTAAACACAGCTGAGTTAGAAGAAGGATATTCTCTCGGAAGAGGCTCAGTAATCCTCATAAGGGGAATACAAGTAGTTGTCCTCGGGTATTTTAATTTATACCATGTCTTTTGAGAAGACGTGGAATAATAAGCATCAGAAGAGCAATGGTAATCTACCATGCACTGAGTACATGGGCCCTGAACTGGCATGCACACCATATTAGGAGCTTAGTGCCCTCACCACCACACCTTATTTCTACATCACTGCAGGATTCCCCCAGCTCTTTCCAGGTTCCAGATGTATCTAAAGGTCAAATCTCAAATCCTTTTTAACCCTTCACTTTCTCAGAACGAACTTTATGTGGAGGTCACCACTAAGTCCAAGAGACAGGCAGACATGTTAACCCAGGTGGATGCCTGGTGTCCCGGTGTTCCTGAGGTCTGTCTGATTTTAAGGAGCTTGTGTATTTTAGAGACATAGGATATGGATTTGTGGAGCTGTCAAGGAGACCTTTCGGGGGCCATTCTCCAAGTTTTCTCCAACTTTAAAGACTTTCTCTAAAGTGACCCATTGGGATAACTTGCAGCCCAAAGAACTCACTGCTCCTCCAAGAAGCCTGTCCATCATCACACACAGACACACCTGTCTCACATACCTGGAATCTCAGCATGACTGGCAGCACATGAAAAGGTGTTTAGACCTGAAGTCCACAAGGTCAATATAGCTCTTAGAGAAGGTTCATCCAGGAAAAGATACAAAGTTGTCAAACACAGGGCTTCTTTTCTGGTTCTTTGTTCTCTTTTTAGGAAGCTTAAAGACTACAAACAACAGTGCTTGGGGGGGGGGGGGACTTTTCCCATGGTGCCACACAAGTAACCGCTGTAGTTCCTACCTCAGATGCAGTGAAGAAGGGGCCTCTTTTGTTCCCAGGAGTACAGAGTATGGTGCTCCCTTAGCCCCGGTTACCTGACTATGAAACTGGGGGTTGGGACAATCTGATCTACTAAGCTATTTGTTGACAGGACCAGGAGTGAGTTGGAGCTCTCTCAGCTTAATATATCCTGTCATCTAGATTGGGTTTGGAATCACCTAATAGACACACCTCTGGGCATATTTATGAGGACATTTTCAGAGAGGAAGACTCACCCTGAATGATGGTAGCACCATCCCATGGACTGAGGTTCCAGAATGAATAAAAAGGGGAAAGAAAAAAGTGAGTTTAGCACAGCATCAGTCTGCTTCTGTTTCCTGGCTGGGATGCAATGTGCCCATCTGTTTCATGCCCCTGCCTCTGTGTCTGCCTCTCCCTCTCCTTAACAGACTCTCCTCAACCTGTGTGTCAAATGAACCCTTCCTCCCGTAAGTTGCTTCTTGCTCAGTAGTTTTGTCATAGCTACAGGAAAAGTAACTGACACTCTCACCAAACTACCAAGTAAGTGTGGGAAAGGAATAAACAGTCTAAGAGAGAGGCGGGTGACATTGGTAATTGAGCAATGGGGGAACTGCCAGAGAATTAAACAACACTGGACTCACTTGAAGGTGTGTGATGATCACAGGTTATCAGAGATCCTTGCATCTGGTTTGACATCACCACAGACCCCCCCAAAAAAAGTGGGGGGGAAAGACCCACCACCAAATAGATAGCAGGGCTCTCCAGTGCTTGTGAACTTAGGAGGAAGAAGAGGACAATGGGCTAGAGCTGCTGTATCTTCAGGAGTAGGTGAGCCTTAGACAGGCTAGTAGAGATGGCATATACTGTCATGTTCCCATTCCAAACTTACATTACTACAAGGATTACCCTATACCTCAATTAAGATAAATATCTGTTGTTTAAATTCTGAAGGATGTGCACGTCTTATCAGGAGAATCAGAAAAATAGCATGTCCTGGATTATGCTGGCCAGTACAGCGTCAGGGAATTTGCTGAGAAGGGGCTGGGAGTGTATTATTCAAAGAAATGTGATTCCGCTTCAACTGAAATGAGTGTGGGAGATGCAAATGTGGAAATTGGGGAAAGTGATGCATAGGCCCCTGGAAGATCCACATAGCTCATGACCACACGCAAGATGCCACGAGGCCCGTGGTGCAGTGATTTGGATGAGAATGCCTCCATAGGCTCACATATTTGCATGCATAGTCACCTGTTGATGTACTATTTGGAAGGATTAGAAGGTGTGGTCTTTGTGGTTCCAAATGTCCACATCAGGCCCCGTGTCTCTTTCCCTCTGCCTACTGCCTATGGGTCAGATGTAAAGCTTTCAGCTACTGCTCTAGCACAGTGCTTTCTGGCGTTCTACCATGCTTCACCATGATGATCCTGGACAATCCTCTGAGACTGTAAGCAAGATCCCAATTAAATGCTTTCTTTTTTAAGAGTTGCCTTAGTCAAGGTGTCTCTCCACAGCGATAGAACAGTGACAAAGACACACAGCAAGGATCATAACACTCATGAGATCATAATTCTTTGTTTTCTGGAACCTCCTATCACATGGCTTAGGGTCTTGACTCTGATGACGTATCTAACAAAAGGGAAAAGAATGAGTAAGTGAATGGAAGGGCCTAACTACCACGTTGTTGCTGTTGTTGTTAATTTCAAGATTCACTCTGTGTGTGTGTGTGTGTGTGTGCGCGCGTGTGCGCACAGGTGTGCAATATTTCCTAACATATTACAGAATTAGAACTACATGGAATTGCTCACTAAAAACGTAGTTTTAGTTTTACTGTGTCCTGCCCATAACCCTGTCCACAGAACTTAGATTGAATTCTGCCTCCAGTGAAGTGTTTAAATTTTTCAAAACATTTCTTTAAGTGCTGTTTAAATACCTCCAAAGTTTCTGGTGGGGAAAGCAGTCTTTACTTCCTAACCACTTTTCCACTTCTCTTTCAGCTAAAGAGAGATGAATCCCTTGAGGCAGACAAAGTGACTGTGAATATTCACAGACCTTCCAGAAAATCAGTCACCAAGATGCTGTGTAAGCCGCTTGCTTTGTTTAATGTTGGTTCACGTTTGTTTATAAGAGCAGAGGTTTTGTTTTTGGCACTGATGTAATGGTGCTGGCTAAGATGTTCTTCTTGGTGTCCAGAAGCTTCTATGACCTGCCTGTTTTGTTTCATCTTTGGTTTTGGGCATTCAAAACCTTTTGCTAGGTTACAGTTGCTGAGGTGCCTTCCAAATCCTATGAAATAAATCATGTTTGCACGCTGAGCCTGAGCCCCACTCTTTCTGTAAGAAGAGGTAGGGATGGTTTCTGAACTTATATGTGGTCCAGCATTCTTCAAACGTAAGAACAGGTCATGATGGGTCCTGCACTCACAAATATATGTGTGCGCATGCGCACATGCGTGTGCTCACACACACACACACACACACACACACACACACACACACACAATGTTTTATAACTGACTTCAGGAGATTGTAAACTCCCATGGCCACGCAGACTCTATGGATGTTTTTATTCCAGATTAAGAACAATTAGTCATGAGTTCTCCTGAGTAGACCATTCCACCTAGGACATCGTATCAAAACATCATCTTGTTTAAAAACAAACTAATAAAAATAGCTTTTTTATTAGAAGTCCACATACTTGTAAAAGACAAACTATTTTAAGAAATCCAGGTGCTGAGCATCCTCTCTCACAAGGATGCTAGAAAAGTAAATGGATCCCTTGGCTAGGGAGATAGATCAGTGGTTAAAGCACTTGCCGTGCAAGCATGAGGAGTGGGTGTTTCATCCCCAGAATCCATGTAAATGCTAATGGGAGTGACCACTCTTTCATAATTCCCCTCTTGGGAGACAGAAACAGTAAGCTGGCTCTGGAGACAAGCCGTATCAGTGAGCTCTGGGTTTGACTGAGGGACCCTGCCTCAGTAAATAAGGTGGATGAGCAATTGAGGACAATTCTTGACTCAACCTTAGGCCTATGCACACACAAACACGTGCACACCCACACACATTCAAACATGCATGCACACGCATGCACACACCTCCATACACATGATACAAAGGCACACATGAAAATGAAAGCTAAGTAAAACAGCCCTAGTCCTTCAAGAGAGACACTGGTGAGGTATGCGAAACTTATCATACTTCTCAAATCACAGCCTACCTTTAAAAAAAGAGAAATCCCCAGGCTCATGTGCATGTGGCTCATGGAAACCAGACCGTCAGTGGACAAAAACCAGAAGTTTCCCAAGTTGGTCTTTTGACTCTAATCATTTTCTTGGAGGTTTTTCAGCTCCAGATGGGTCTTGTTGTCAGGAGACAGGGGGTCTTCATTATTTCTCTTCTTCTCCCTTTGATCGTGATCTTCTCAGTGTTTGCTGGTGTTAGCATCTCAGTAGCAAGCCTGGGATGTAGCCCCTTGGTAGAGCATGTGCCCTGCATGTGCAAGGCCCTTGGTTCAATTCCTAGCATGCCATATACAGTAAAATAGATTGGGGCTCCATACAAAGCCAGCCTGGGCAACCTAACAGGACCCTGTCTCAAAAAGTAAAAAGAGGGCTGGGCTGTCTCTCAGTGGCAGAGTACTTGCCTGATATATGTGTGGAGTTCAAGCTCAATTCCCAGTACTATAAAGGAAAAAAAAAAAGCAAAAAAGTAATAATGACAAAACATAAACCATTTGCCTTCATTGTGATCAGGAATGATGGCCAAAAGTGGGCAGTTGGAAGACATTTTATTGAGAGATAAATTCAAGAGAATATGCCGGTTATTTTTGGGAGCACACTGCACAGGCAAACAGCTTGCCCTCAAAGTTAACTCCAAAAGGAAACAAAGGCACCAGTTTTCATGAAAACCTGGAATGTGCTCATGGGCAGAGCTGCAAAATGAAGAGCGTGCACCCATCTCTCAACCTCAGAAGGTGTCAGCTCATGGCTGGTTTCCCTTCATCCTCAGGCTCACTCCTCCTCCAGCCCTGTTAGATCATCACTCAGATACAAACTTCAAGCAGCCTGTCACAGGAAAGGATTTGACAACTTCTTAAAGGGGGAAACATGCTTATCTTTGTGGAGCTTCAGTGTCCCAAGGGGAAACAATTGGAACACCCATCCCTGCCCTGGGGCTGAAAATGGGAAGTAGGGGAGAATTCTGTATACTTCTGACTCAGGATGACAGGGTCTTCCCCCCAGAATCAACACTGTGATTATAGTTGTTCTGACTCTGTGTCTTACCTGGCCCATCACAGAATCAAAAGGATCAAAGGAACTCCTGATGAGTTCTAGTTTTGTGTTAACAGCTTTGCACTGCTATGACAAAGTAAAGGGAAGAAGTCTACGGATGTGGATGGGTTGGCAAAGTGCTTGCTGAACAAACTCCTGTTTGATCTCCAGCATCTGTGTAACAACAAGTTGAGCATGTTGGGTGATGGATGCTTGTAATCCAGCATCCCAAAGCTGAGTAGATGGACACAGGTGGATCCCTGGGATTTGTTGGCCAGCAGTCTGGCTGAATTGGTGAATTCAAGGTAAAAGCGAGAGACTGTCTCTAAACAAAATGGGCAGGCCACCTGAAGAATAATACTTAAAGCTGACCTCTGTGCCCCAGACCACAACACAAACACACAAGATACACACAAAACCCATACATATCTTTAGGCCAATTGGAAGAAGAAGGAGAGAGGCAAAGAAGAAAAGAGGGAAGAGGCAGGGAGAGTTTTCAACAAAGAGGACATTAAGTTGGAATGGGGCATGTTGGAGAACATGGAAGGAGTTGGAGACGGAAAAGAATTAGTAAAAAATGATCGTATTTTATTACGTGCATTTATGAAAATTACAAAAACAGAAAAATTCAAGTAAAAACAGAACTATGTATTTTAAAAGAAAACTCAGGCAATTTTATAGAAAAATTGGTTCTAGGTCCATACAACTAATTCTTACGTTCAAATATTCTTTAACTCTGGGGCCACCTTTGCCTATAGCAATCATCACTTAGACAAGGTGGCAGAGAAAACCTGCTAAAGAAGAGGAAGGCTGGGTGAGCATCATGTTCTTCTCTGGCCTACTCCGTCATTCCCTCTCCAACTTCCTTTCCCAGTTGTCTTGGTCCTCGTGTTTGCTATTTGCTGGACCCCCTTCCATGTGGACCGGCTCTTCTTCAGCTTCGTGAACGAGTGGACTGAGTCTCTGGCTGCTGTGTTCAACCTCATCCACGTGGTATCAGGTAAAGGCCTGGTGGGTTTGCTGATGAAACTCTAAAGCAGCTTTTCCTTCACTCTGTCCTGAAGGCTCACTATACAAGCAGCTCAAGTCTATAAAAACCGTTAAAATTGAGTTCAAGTCCAAACTATTGAATTTCAGATTCAGGAGTTTTTCCTCCAAAATAGAGAAGCTATGGTGTTAGCTTCAGGGTACTTCCACCAGCTTCTGTTGTCACTGGTTTACTCTGTAGGCTCTGGTTTATTAGGAACATAACCAGAGAGCAAAAGTTAGATACATGTATGCAACTTAGGAACATCACAGCTGAGGACAAAAGGAAGGAGAGAAGGAAAGGGATGGAAAGGAGAGAAAGCACACACAGCAGGCATTCCTGTATAATGCAGCCATTTCTGCCTCTGAGCATTTGCACCCAAGTACGCTTTCTCTTTCTTCATCAACTGTCTCCTACCCATATCAGGGTCCAGCTGGTGTCAGTCACCTCCACTGAGTCCCTTATGACCACAGCAGTCTCTGTTATGACCGAATACCTGCCGTAGACAGGCAGTGATATCATACTGCTTCTAGCAGATACCATTGTGTATCCCTGTTGCCAGCTTTGCCAGGGATCTTGCCTCTGTTTGACTCTTCCAGTTTAACGGCTTGTATAGACTTGTGCCTTTGGGAAAACCATTTCCTCTGTGCATGTCTTCGGTGTCAAACACTGACAATCACTTAGGATTCCCCTGTTGCAATTGTCACATGTAGAGTTGGGGTTTTCCTTAAAGTAACCTCTAAGCATTTTAACTCTTTGAATACAAATTACTCATCTTTGAATACAAGTGGAATGCTGGGAGAAAAAAAAAGTCTAAATCTCTCATCTTTCAATGTGCTTTGAAGTTCTCAGAATGTCCTAGTAAGCATTTGATCAGTGTCTGAATGAACAGACATGTCTTCTCATTTCAGTGACCATAGACACACAAAAGGGATTCCATCCAAGCTTTATATATATATATATATGTGTGTGTGTGTGTGTGTGTGTGTGTGTGTGTGTGTGTGTGAGCAATGGTTAGCCATCTATAAATCCTGGGAAGGGACTCAGCCTCATGACCCTCTCCCTAAACAACTGTTAACTGTCCATAAATCTTTGAGGAAAGGCAGACAGACCTTCCCTTGTAATGCAGAGTTAACGGGAACACCCTTGTGTAGTCTCCAATGGGTAATCGCAGCTGACACCTCCAGACAGCTAAGGCAGTGACTGAGTCAGCCTGAAGAATGGTGTTTCTTAGCGCTCAGATTCAGTCAGAATACCTAACCTCCATTTTTCAGAAGAATGAACTGAAGAGCCAGTGTTTATCTAAGGGCCCAGAACACAAGAGGGTCACACTCCTAGCCTCCCTTAAGCTTCAGTGGTGTCTTAGAGAAAGAAGACAGGAGATGATACTAAATGCGTGCATAGGAACTGGAGAGACGCTCCATATAGTGCTCTTGCAGAAGACCCAACTTCGTGTCCCAGCCCCTGTATCAGGTTTCTCTCATGCCTGTAACTCCAGTGCCAGAGAATCAGATGCCTTTTAGCCTCTGTGGGAACTGGGTCTCGTGAATGTATGCTCAAGTGTATGCGTGCGCACACACACACACACACACACACACACACACACACACACACACAGAGAGAGAGAGAGAGAGAGAGAGAGAAAGAGAGAGAGAGAGAGAGATGCATAATTAAAAAATACATCTCTAAATAAAAGAGTGCTATTATAACAAGCAGAGAAAAGGCAATATGCAAGCTGTCTGGAGGACAAAACAAGTGATAAAATATAATTATTCAGTGGAAGCGCTATCGGGAACCATGAGTGGGTAGGGAAGGGGCGTGGCTCCGGAGAAGTTGGGGACAGCCCTCTCCCAGAGGTTTTCAGCAAAACGAAGAATTTCACCAGGGACAGTGTGTTGACTCACTTACCCATTCTCACCAGAGCTACTGTATCAAATTATAGTTTTAACTAAAAATCCAGTGAAGAAATAAGCCTTTCTCCTCTGATACTTGAACGTCTCTCATCAGTGCCATTAACCCAGCACCACAGAAAAACCATGGCTCTTTAATCACTCTGTGTTTGTGTCCTGAGTGTACAGGCAGATCTCCCCGCAGCATTTCAAATTCTCAGTGAGTGTCTTGTACACCCCATTGCTTCCAGGAGAGGCAATCACAGGATTCCCAGGCCTTTGTTAAATATTTACATTTTTCTCTACCTTCTTCCATTCCTTGTTTGCAGGTGTCTTCTTCTATCTGAGCTCCGCGGTCAACCCCATTATCTATAACCTCCTGTCACGGCGCTTTCGGGCGGCCTTTCGGAATGTCGTCTCTCCTTCCTGCAAATGGTGTCATTCCCAGCATCGCCCACAGGGACCCCCAGTCCAGAAGATCATTTTCTTGACAGAATGCCACCTTGTGGAGCTGACAGAGGATGTAGGCCCCCAGTTCCCTTGTCAGTCATCCATCCACAACACTCACCTTACCACTACACCCTGTGCTGGAGAGGTACCATGAAAGGAGGGGTCAGAAGGCCACTTCAGAAGGCCTGGATTCTGTGATTGACATCCTTCTATGTGCCAGCACTTCAAGGAGGGACACACTGTCACCTCTGCCTCCTTGCGTGCCGTTAGAGAGGTAGCAAGGCTCTTAAATTCCATGTACTCATTACTTTTTTTAATGCTTAAACTCAGACTTCATTCCGGGTCACACTGCAGACTTTACACTCCATCTTTCTGTATTTTGAGTTTTCATAAATGTGATTGTAATGTGTCATGGGAGTCTCACTTAAAGATGCTCTCATGATGGGTGGGTTTAGTCTACTAAAGGCACTGTAAAGTAGCTAAACAGCACAACACAATTATCCCAACATCCAAACCCAGGATGCAGGAGAAACTACTGGGTGGTACTCTGGTGAGCTGGCTCAGAACTGCTCACCAAAGCCTAACCCTCCAATAGTTAGGACTTTTGCAAGTTTGTTGTCAAATGAGCGATGGCTTGAAATCAATCCTAGTAGAAATATTTATGCTACAGAAATTAACAGCTCTCTAAATCAGGGCTAAATAATTTTTATCCCCTAGAGATCTGGCCCATGAGCAGGTTGAGAGATATTAATGAGCTGGCACTGAGCCAGCTTGCTGTGGTGCGTGTGACTTGCTTTTAGAACAAATGCTGGTAATGCTGTAATTATGGACTACTTAGAGTCATGGTTAACTCTGAAAAAAAAGTCCCATGGACTAGATTTAAAAAAAAAAACCTAGAGTTTCTACACAAAATTAGGCGAAATACTGCTAATTAAGCCAATGGAAGCAGCATCAGCATTTTATAATTAACCTGGAGTAGAAGGATTATTTTTGGATGCCATCCATTAACATTAATGCAGAAAACAACAATGGACCGGGTGTTATTTTCCCTCACACGTCTGTATTTGCAGAGCCCACAGGATGTGTTGTCAAAACATATGATTTTTTCTATATTCATCTCCACTTGGCTGCAGATTTATTTTCTTCTTAACATGTAGAAATTTGATGTAGGACTGGAGGGACAGACGACACAGTGAACCAAAGGCACTTGCCACCCTGCCTGAGGATCTGAATTCCATATCTGGAACTCACATGGTGGAAGGAGTGAGAAATGACTTCCCCACGTTGTCCTTTGACATCTAAGCATGCACCACGGCATATGCACTCCCAAACCCTGACACTCACCACAATAAGTAAGTTAATATAAACATTAAAGAAATATATCATAAATGCATAGTGTGGAAGCTAACAACTATACTATCTTCTAGAAGCCTGGGAAATCAAAATCACAGCCTTTCCAGCCTCTCCTTTCCTTTCCCACCCCCAATGGATGCCTGAGTGCTTCATGGTCTCTGCTTCTGAAGCTTCACCTGTGCCACTATGGTAGCACTTTCAAGGCAATGTCAGTGTTTGAAAGTTTTGACTAATTTATATATGGGATAGATATTGTAGAATATCCTTAAATTATGTACCTGGGTTTCACTGCCAGTGAAATACATTCACTGTGCAAAGCAAGATTATTAACTTAGAGAGTTAGAAAGTTGGACAAGTCTGGCAAAGAAAGCCAAAGTCCAGGACTAAGAGAGGCAAAGCTGGAGAGATAAGTAGTGTCTCGATGGGCAAAGACATTTGTGCATAGGCTCACTGATGCGAGTTCCTTGGTTGAAGAAGAGATCCAACACCTGAAGTTGTTCTCTGACCTCTGTATAGCAGCTACCATGGCTTGTGTAGCAGTACCCCCTCACACATAATAACAATAAAATTATTGCTTTAAAGACAAGCAATTACTTTCAAACACATTCAGTGTCTGCTATAAAACCACACGGACGCATAGATAAATTCTGTGAGTAAACAGGCATTTTGAAGATATATCTTAAAAGGTTCCATAGAATGCACTTATTCATATATTTGTACATTTGACTCTTATCAACACTTTCTGCTTTGTCTTATAAATGCTGAAAAATTCAGATCCTGACTTTGACCACCAATTCCTCAGTAATAAAACGGAATAAAGGTTGTCCTGTGCACATCCTGTGTTCTCTTCCCTGATTCTCCCATCTTACTGAGAAATAAAGTATTATCTATTACCATCTACCCATCCCCCTTCCAGTTGTCAGCAAAGAGCTTAACCTTCCTTACTTCTGGGAAAATTATACAAGCAATCTCCAAGTCTCTGAGGCCACCAGAGTCCTGGAATCTCACTCAGAAACCCACAGGGGCTGGGGAGGTTCCCAGGCAGGGACAGGCTGAGGTCTGAGGCTTCCCTACCTGACCTTGCCACCTGCAGCAGCCTCTTTCTTACACTCCTGTAAATAATGGTGAGTACCTACAAAGGACCTATGTGGGAGTCTATAAAACACACTCCCCAGCAGTTCATCCGGATTCCAGAAGGGTGGTTGTCATTCCTCCTAAGAAGCCTATAGATCTCAGAAACTGCCAGACTCCTGGATGTCACTTAGGAGGGTGGTTAAGGACAGCCCCACCCTATACAAGTAACAAGTGCCTCCTCTCTGCACTTTCCCCAGGACCCTTCACTCACTCCCTCCCCTCCACTCCCTATCTCCTCCCCACTCCTCCACCTCCTCCCCACTCCTCCACCTCCTCCCC